TAATTATCAATCACTGCTGTCAAAATGAGAGAGATGGCTAGTACATGCAGGGTTGACACCCTTCTTATTGCCTGAGTCAGACGAGCGTCTGAGTGAAATTCTTTCCCAGCAGTGATGATGCACAGAACTGCATGTTACAGGATAAACCACTATCCTGCCTTCCACGGAATCAATACAGTTGATACACTCAGCCGGTACACTCATGCAGTCCCCCACATGACAACACGATCACCGGAGAATTTGGGTTGTAAACAAAATTCACACTGCGGTGTTGAATCATACTTCTCGAGTCTGCACAGAAAGGAGCGATGCACAGGCTCACGGGCACCGATGCATTCCCCCAAGGCGCATCACCCATCACATTCGGGTGTCGAAAGCGAGATTTTGCATTAGGCAAGAATTAAAGTCGCGCAGAGCTAAAAATAGAGTGTTACCTTGTGGAGTTCATGACGGGTTTCTTTGCTCGGAGGACGCGGAGCTTCTCTCGCAGTGCGCGAAGAAAAACGAGAGTCGGACACGCACGCAAATTCAGCGCTGTGGAAGGCAAGATGTTGGAGAGGCTTGTTGTTGTGCAGCTCAGCGTCACTGACTCAAAGTCAGCCTACGTACCTCCGCCTGCTTCTGAAGTGCTGCCACCAAATGCTCCGAAGCTGCAAGATTTATCATGAACTGACAGCCAGTGCTCTGATTCAAATGTTCAGATGCTTCTGTCACTTCTTTCTTTTTTTCTGTTTCGTTTCTAATGCAGACTTGTGCAGTTGTTCCCAAAGGGTCACTTCATGCTGGTGGTGGTGCTGAATAGACAGCTCCCCCCACTTAAAGCTGCTCGGCTGCTCCTCTGTGTGAAAAGAGGAGAGTGGACAAGTTCTCGAGTTCTTAATAAAAATATTTATGAATTCATTTTAATTGTCACAGAAGCCAGATGCATTGGGCTACATTAGATTAAAAGCAGTACTTATGGGCCTGTACTTGTGGGGTGGTCCATTTTTTGGCGCAGCGTGTTTAGAAAAAATGCGCCTCAGCTGTTCTGATACTCCTGACATATAAGTTGATCACTAAAGGTTTTTCTCTTAGTAGAAGAAGATATCCTTAATGTGATCATTTGATATGTTCGATCCAAATATCTATAGTATCACCAATACCAATTCCAACACTGGAATTGGTATTGGATCGATACTAGCCTCATAGGATCGGTACTTCGGTGTGTTTTGTTGGGTTAACTAATTATTGTAAAGAGTAAAAAATGATAGTGATTGGGTGATCATTAAGATGTGTTCAGAATTTTCAAATTGATTATGTCTCATTTCATAAATCATGACAGACTGCTCTTCCCTACAATGTGCCTTTATAGGGTAAAAGTCTCAGGTTCAGCAGTCGTGGCCCTGTATTTACTTGCTATTGGATCTATGGCACGAATCTAGTGATCATTTCAGTCACATACCTCTGGCTGTGAGTACAGAAGCACATCTCACCTGCTGCTCAAAACTTGTGTTTGCAAGGAGCAGCCAATCAGAATAATGTGGTTTAAAGGTGAAGATATAGAGAACTAAAACGGCTTATTTCAGACATGAATGAACTGAGATGTCGTACCAATTATGCCTAGTATGTGGTAAATT